GTGCATTTTGTTAAGAGCTGTAAGTGCATTAAAATTTGATTTGGAAAGAAGTTGATTAATAACGTGGTCTTTCTATTTTCCAACAAAAGAATACATTTTCAAAGCATTTGATGGCTGTTGTCACCGTGAGGAGAAGCCAGACGTTCCTTGAATTTTCTAATACACCTCATCGCACAAATATATTTTTTCCTCTACTTATGACGATTCAATTTTGACGATACACCCATTCGCCCACTCGATTTGAGTCGTGCTTAGTCATTCATTTCGCTGAGAGCCGAAACACCCATGAGTCACGTTGGCTCCCAAATGCATCGTATTTGCACTAGCTTGTCCAAAATCTGTTATCTTAATCTCTGACTGTCCAATTAGTGGGTCTTTTGCTCAAGCAAATTTCCTTTTTGCGTTCCCAAAATTGGCCACATCTACGATCACGTTTGTTGTTTCCCTGAAGACGATAAGATAAACTTCCTTGGATGTGTAACGAATAGAAACTTTTAATGATGGGGATAGACTCAATCGAAATGGAACAAACAATTTACACTCGGAGCCATTTTAAACGAAGTCATTGCCTTTAATTAACGCATTATACACTAGAGTGTGCATCCAGTGTATCGCGGTGTTACAGAGACACGACTGTTTTTTGTTTGCTTTTAATTCTACTATCACCGCATTTTATCTGCACTTATTTAACTTTTTTGCATCGCAATTTCTGCAACTGCTAAACCATTTTATTGCTTATTAATTAAATGTTATAATTCGGACTAAACCTAATTGGCTCCAGATTCGTGTTGCTAGAACATTGTTGCCTTTTATCAATGGAATCCTCTTTGATTCATTTCTAAAATGCAAGATTCGAAAATTCTCACGAAATTTTTTGCACAAGGTAGCGCATGCTCCCAGAGGATGCTTGCAGATGTCGAAACGAACAGAGTTGATATGTGCGCAGTTGGATGGTTCCGAAGGCATTCCTTCCAACGCAAAGCGTACATTTGTACATCCGCTAGATTGCAAAAGTCTATTTAGCCGGTTCAATTTACTTTGCACTAGTACTAAAGCATTCGTTTGATGCTTGGCCCTTCCCGTAGTTGCATTAACGCGTAATTGAACAAGTGAGTTCTTTCATTGAGTGGGTTGATACCATTGCCTTCTATATTTATGCACACCTTTGGACAGCCACCCGGCAAACTCACCAGGAAAGTGTTTTATGTGGGTATGAATTAACCATGCACAGGCCAGGCAGGAACATTTTACCAGTTGGAGGAAAGCGCGTTCCTGTGTCGTGGCAAAACCTCGCCAATTTCTTTATTTTAGCAGTCAGGATGTTGTTTTTCTTTCGTGCATTTCTAATTTGCGTACCGATTTAGCGCACAGCCAAAGAGATTGCTTAAATCACAAAATCATCCTTTAGTGGAAGTTTTGTGATAAATCTGGCAGCATAACTCACATTACATAATGTTTGCTTTTCGTCATAGGATGGATAATTTCCATGCTGCCAACTCCAACTTGTGTATTAAAAAAAAACACAATTTTGGCACTTCCAAACCTTGCTTCATCCTAGCAACCTGATAGAAGCGAAACGACTGAGGGCTAACCAGTAAGATTGTCGCAAGCAAACCAATCGGAAAAGGCGAAGTGACCACGAACGAGCAGCTTGATGGTTACAAGCGCACTGATCAAAGGCAGGGCTTATTATGGTCGAGCTAAATGATTACAAAAAACAACGGACTTAATGTCATTGAGGGCAATCACTTACGGGAATAAGACGTAAAACCTAAGTCTGCACTTAATTTTACACATTGCATTGTTGTCCCATAGCTACACACATTCAAGACAGATTGTACATACATGTTTTTCTTGGTAGCATAAAATCTGACTGCCTGGGGAGATAGACGGAATCTTAAGCCCTGAATTTAGTATTCGAGGTTTAAATTTGTTTAATTAGAGGTGAAATTAATGACCACCTATCCAGGCATCATTTGGCTAACTTCCACTTAACAATGGCAATGTAAGTGTTCACAAAACAAATAAATTTGGCAAGAAAATGTGAGCATTTAACTTGGAGGTGATTAATTTATTCACTCAGCTAAATGGTTGACAGCTCAAAAAACTGGTGGATTTGACAAATGTACTAAAGAAGGTAGGCGTTTTCGTGGTGAGCAGCAATTTGTTTTAATCGTTTACTTCTGGTTAAAACAATCATCGCAGGGTCGAAAATAATGAATTATGAACTGCATTCAAACTTTTTCAGGCATTTTTGAAATAAAACGTACAAATGGCTTAGCAGCTGTTAATTTATTAATACAAGTAAGAATTTCGCAGCCCAGCCAAGTTAGTAGCTGCACAAATCAGGGCTCTTTTCAAAATTAGAGAATCTAATTAAAGCTCCTTTTTTTCGTGGACAAATTCGCCTTAATTAAATCAATTGTATTTGTTAAAACCAACTAAGTGCCAATACACATTTGACCAAATCAAATGAATTCAATTGACAATTTGCCGAAATTTTTTTTTACGATAAATTAATGTACAAGACTGTCCGCCCACAATTTTTACCCCAATTTGACTAAGCCAAATCCAGTTACATTAGCGGCCACCTAAATTGACGCAAGCTCAAACTCATTTATGGAATTGTAAGTTGAGCCATCAACGATATAACACCATTTTTCGAGGCCAATCACCGCTAATTGTTATGAAATTATTTGCTTTTGAATTTTTTAGGAGTTAAATTTTCACATTGAGCTAGTGCACTATTAGGATCTAACAACAGTTGTCGCTTGGTAGCCTTTAATACCGGAATAATTCAAAACGTGATCAAGTGTCCTAAAACTACATAATTTAGGGTACTTACATTGGAAATCTGGTAGGTGTGACACAATTTGTACACATTTTAGCTGACCTTTGACCATTTAACACTTTATTTCATATGTAGACAATAGTTCATTGGCTGCCCAGGGATAATGCTCTTTTATTTACTGAAAATGCTTGTCAATGCGTTTTACTGTGTTTAACTAATTTACACGCTTCTTTAGAGTTTTACTTCCAAGCAACGAAATTGTGACAATGCTCGCAAGCCCAGATATGCCTGATGTTTCTACCTCATAAATTTCCCTATCCAAGTCGTGCGTGATCAAACTCAGTTCAAAATAACAGGAAAACTTATTTTTCTCGCCAACACAACCCGTCACCGTCACATAACCAAATAGAAACAAGCGGAGTAAATGGAAATCTTTAGTCGGTATTTACAGATAACAAATGCGATCTGAGAAGAATTATTTGTTTTGTTGCTTACGCAAAAAGGAAGGTCTAATTGACTGCAGCGTGTATTTACTGCGCAGTGTCCGACCAAGTCAGCAGTTAAACGAAGGTACTACACAGGCATTCTTTTTCAGAATTCATGCGTGGTAGCATTTGGGGTAAATATGCACACACCCCAAATCGATTAGGAGTACCAAGATGTTTTAATGAATGGACAAGATAACCTGGGTGACGTGTATCTAAATAAGTAATCTTCTTCTCTTGAATAAATAGAATCTATAAGAGCCCAAGTTCCCGGTGGAGATATGTGCGCACGCATTACTCGTATTCTCCTGCGATGCTGTCTCCATTCTCTTTGGTGCTTCTGAAAGCGGGATTGCCCTCCACAGCACGATGCCGCAGGCTGAAGGCCTTAACTCGGTAGTTCCCTGCGTCGACCACGACGATGAGCTTCTCACTGGACAGGATCGCGAGACCCTGGGGTTCGCTTAGGGCATCCAACGGCGTCGTCAGCATCCACAGGTATTGGCCCTCCTTGTCAAACACCTATAGAAAACACCAAGACCACAAACACTAACCAGCATGCAAGCATAAAAACCCAACGGGCGAGATTAGTAATAATTACATTGAAATAAATACCTTTTGGAAATGCGAAACGGAAGTGGCAGGAAGCAAGTGGTCGACCACAGGTTAAAAGAGGGTATTTGCAAGTAGACTTTAAAACAGATCAACGCCTAATTAGCCACCAACTGACAAATTTCTTCTTCCATGTAAGCACGACTCACGTTTTGTGGTTTATGGTATTCAAAAAGCTGATTTAGGCACAATCTCATAAGGAATTTGCCTAAGTGTATAAGATTCATGAAGAACAGGCAACGGTTATTAAGATTTGCAGATATATTTTTGAATAGTTTAAGAGATAGGTTTTTATAGTCCTGAGCACAGTTATGCCAATTTCGACAGTTTGGAAAACTAGAATCAAAGCTTAGAACCATGGATACCGTAAGCTGTAAGTGGTAAATTACTAAAGTAAACGAAATTAGCGATCAGCCACAGCGTGAATAGCAGATATTTCAGCCTTTAACCCGCTTAAAATGTGGCTTAAAGTGGCTGAAAATTCACTTTGTCTGGTTTCGCAATTTAATTAATGGTGTCTAGAGTTTGTTTATCTTTTTTATACTTAATCAGGATTCAATCATGAAAAGCCAATTACTTGACCACGAAGTCATAAATCTGCCACTGCACTGCACTAAGTCCCTTCCATAGCATCCAGATTGTCCGGCAGTCGAGTTTCCTTGTCGCAGCATTGGATGCTTGCATTAATTAACCATAAAAGTAGTCATTACTCACAGACCATTGCATTCGTTTGATGCTAATTAACTCTCTCACTACTGTGAGTGCGCGGTAATTCATAATTTAATGAATACTTTAGGTTTTATAGGAAACGTGACACACACTGTCTCTTCGATAGATGCATCTTCAACTATCTAGACTATTTCTCCATTTACGCTCTGAATTAAACCATCAAAAGTACTTCGACCACAGTATTATGAGAATCATTGTTTCAAAGATTTCACAAAGTAACATAAATTTATATTTTATGTCTTTCTTGGCTTGAGTAATCAAATGCTGATAATTAAGATACATTTACTGCTTGTGTGCTGAAAATAGAGACTGGTCTAGAATAAAACTCGTTTTTGGTGTCTGGTTGTTAGGCCAATCGTGGTACTCTTAACTGTACTGTAGTTAACACAGCGGCTGGTACATTCGTAATTGCTTCTCGTTTTTACTTTAGGCCAAAAGTTTTATTTAATTTTACAATCATTACTGCCTTCAAAGGTTTGACAAAAGTTAGTGAAATTAAGTCCAATTTAAATTATGACCCCCTCCAAGAAAAAACTAAGGCCAGTTAAAGGAAGAAATTGGTAAATATTACGGGTGAATAGTAGTAACGTTGTTCCAACTAGTCTTCAAGAAATTCGATATGGCTAGACTCTGAAATTGACCGACTAGGAAGGCCTAACCTGCACTCGATTATTTCCGGTATCACTGATGAAGAGTAGGTCGTTGGCATCGAAGGCAAGACGTGTTGGCAGATGTAGGCAACCCGCCTCGCAGCCGTTGACACCGAACTTGAAGAGAAATTCACCATCGTTCTCGAACACCTTCACCGCGTGCACGCTCGAGTCGACTACGTAGATGCGGTCCGTCGAGTCGATGGCGATGCCGGTTGGGGTCAAGAATTGATTGTCGGCGGCACCACGTGCCCCGAATTGACCCAGAAAACGACCAGTTGGTTTGAAGTAGCAAACGGTGCAGGCTTTAAGATCAACGACGAAGATCTTACCCTTACTATCAACCGCAACATCCTGCAAATAGAAGCCACGGTAAATAGACAGTCCACGTGAAAGCCATTTTCTCGACTCAAAGGTCGGTAGATTGGAGCCGGAAAAGCAGTAATAGTACTGAAGTAGATATCATGCTTCCCATCGCAACTTCATAGCCATGTACCACAAGTCGAAATGCTTAGCTAAATTCACTTCCTACTAACTTGAAAATACTGGTAGAATGTGTGCAAAAATCGTGCATTTTTCTTGATTTTTTCTCCAGTCAACTCCTAAAAAAATATTACGATTAAAAATCGGATGGTTGTTTACCATTTGGCTTCATGGAAGAGGTTAAAAGTACACGACACCCGCGGCGATCAAATCCCAAATGGCAACAAAAACGTCTAAGACGCTACTTGACGTGCTGAATCATCATGCATACTCCGTGATAGACGCCGATCGACCCATCTTGCTTAATCGTAAATGGTTCATCTGTAGAAGAGGCAATTTCATGGCGTTCAAAACGCATTTCATGAATTCTGAAAATTTGCGTGTTGTGCAAATTTCCCTCCTTTTATATTTGGCCTCAACGTCCCAGTGATTTACGGTGGTCGTGGGAATGATGTCTCAACCAACTCTCATGCAAGCCTTTGCAGGATTGGATAATTATGATTCGATGTAATTGATTTAGTTGGTCACTACCAAATTACCATGGTCAAACGAACTTGTGTTAAATTTCAAGTACAGAATTTCCAGGACGCAAACTGTATGCTTAAATGTTTTCTAGTTTTGTTGAAAGAGATAGAAATCAAATGTCTAAAGGTGCAGTCTCGTAAAATCATCAGATCTGCAACTAAACCGAATTTATTTTTGTCAATTGACTTGCGACAAGCATTATTCTAATGCCTCAACTCAACCGAATGAATCCGTCATCACCACAATGTGTCCAGGCTCTTAGTCAAATTTACCACCTAAGAAAGATTTAATGCTGGTAACAACAAATGTGTCTTGAGCTCTGGTCTAGGGTTTCGCTAGGAACGTAAAACGGGTTTATTAAACACTTCTTTTTAGCTTTTAGACCCCATTTTTGTCGACAGAATTTGACGAGGAGAGAGGATGGTTCAGCAGTTTATCCGGGTTAGTTATTGACCAGCAGTTTTCGGTGGTAGGACATCAGTTTATGTACGATTTGACGAGGAAGGAGAGAGAATGGCTCAAAAAGTTTATTCGGGTTAGTTTAAGAGCAGTAGTTTTCGGTGACAGGACGTCAATTTACGAGCAAACGCCTGACAATCAGTCCTCAAACGAGTGTCGCTTCGCGAAGGGAAATTACGATGATCGATTGGGTCCACGTTTGCCATGCCTAGCACAAATATTTGCATGCTGATGGTCACAAATTTTTCCCTGCCCTAAGGACTCCACACTGCGCAAAGTCAAATTTTCACCGATTGCCACACTCTTGAGGGACGAAAAACATCAAAACTGGCTGCAGCAGTCATCAGCAAAATTCTTGAATAGACCTTAAAATGCATTGCTAGGTCACCAATCAATCAGTGAATTCTCTAGGGCTTGTGTCCATTTTTAGTACAAAACGAAACACTTGTAATGAATTTTTTTTTGTTTTTGACTACGAACTGACGTCTGCGTCCATGCCTAATGCCTCGCTGAAGGTGTGGAATGTTGTCAGTGAATTTATCACCACAAATAAAGGTCAGTTTGTGCGTTAAACGTCCCTTTTAGGGGTGCGCTGTTTAATTAACTTCTACGAAAGCGCTGCCTCGAAACACACCCTAATTTGCAATTCACAAGTATGTAAGTTCTGCAGCCGATAAAAGGTGACGTGTCAAATCAAATCTCACTTTTCTGCAGATAAATAGATTGCAAATATTTCTGAATTGAGAGAGAAGCAATAGCGGTGACAACCACAAAATTGATACGCTAGGCAAAACTTTTTTTTTCAAATCTGACAGTATTTTCTGGAGTTCTGGATTTTTCGAACGAACGAGTTTTTTCAGTAGCTAGCAGAGAAAAACATAACGGCCTCGTAGACTGGGAAAGTACTTTCAAGCTTAAATCACTTGCATTAGTATGCACAATAAAATGTGGCAAACTTACAAGCAAATCGAGAACACCGAATCTGGATACACTAAATCTTAGTGTCCATACAGGCTAGATTGACACTCATTACCAAATCGACTAAGTCTATTTGATTTCTACCAAAATCGATTCAATAAAATGCTTATTGGCTCTGAATGCGTCCCTCTAACTTAAACAAATTTAACTGGTTCAATTAAATTCATCCACTGGATTAATGGAAGGTTAAATAAAATCCCAGAGGGATAAATTTGCTTAAAAGTGATTTTGAGGGTTACAAAATGCTATAAAATAAAAACAGAAATGAATTTAAATTTTCACCGTAGCAAATTAATTGTAATTTCTGTGTGGTTTGTAGGCAAAATGTAGAAGTTTAAAGGAATCCAATAAGTGACAGTGATTAAATGGGATTTTATTAACCCAACATTTGATGGCGCAAACCACATTACTCTACCCAACTTATTACATGGTACTACAAGATCCTGGTGCCGCGATTTTTACAAAAAAATAATATTTTTAAAAAGTGTATTTACATGATAATCCCCAGACCACCACGCAGTTAAACTATTTTCAGTGTCCACGAACAATTAGTATTTAAACGGAATTATTTTCCGCATTAGATCATCTTATTAAATCATTAAAACTGACATATCACAAATCGATGTGCCTTTAAGATGAAATTGGTAAATTGAGGAATCATGCGAGACTTAGGTATCTATTTCTCCCTTTCTAGGGCTAATAAAAACTAAATAACTATATTTGAGGCTGAATTAATCTGTGAACTGAGTAAGACTGCAATTCGTAAAATTTATTTTGTGTGGCGGTAAGTTCAAATGGGTAAACCCTTGCCCCTGAGAGATTTCCACCCAATCACATTTGCGGAACTCACATTGGGTCCGGCGAGGTTGCGTTGACCAAAACGCGACATGTACTTGCCTGACGGCTGGAAGACGTGGATGCAGTGGAGGTCATAATCGCTGATTAAGTAGTTGGAGTTAATGGTCTCCGCTGCTGAGCTAGGCCGGATCATTTGACCCGCCTCTGAGCCGAATTGGCCAAAACGCAGGAGCAAAGCACCGCGACAATTGAAAACCTGAATAATCCGAAAATGAAGCTCATTGATTGGTCAATTTAAACTTGCAATCTTTTTTTATCCAATGAGATCCAATGTGTTATGGATTTTTGCTCAGGGGACACCAAAATGGTGTCTCTTCTCAGCAAGCTTCACCACCTATCAAATTCTGATTTTTTTTTGGATTGAAAGAGTGCGCTAAACTAAAAAACCTAATGAGTCCATCCTTGTCCGCTCTGGCTAGGAACAACTGTTCCTGATTGTGTTTCTGATTTCAATGTTATTAATGAGCGCGTTAGTTCGTTCTATATTTGCAGTCACTGTGATTTTGTGCTTCATATCTAGATGTTGCGCACAGGACCTTGCCGTGCGACAAGTCCATTTAACTCATTTCATGGGAAAATGATGCCATCTCGAAAGTTATAGAGTGTGGCTTCATATGAGTGCCTTTGAAAGCTGTCGTTTGCGTTTATCAATGATTCAGCCTAACTCCAGAAATAAAATTATGCAATATTTGCATTCAGAAGTCTCCACCAACCTGCAGTTTCATTGGTGATGCAAACATCATGGGAAATACCATTGTGTCTTCTTTAAGTTAGACCACTTGGTATTGTACTTAATTTACTTAAATGTGGATTTTAGGTCGAAAGTGATTGGCTAAAGTCAATTTTTTTCAGACTCAATCCAAATGCCGTTATTAGACCCTGATACTTTAGCCAATAGCTCACTTATGCAACCAAAGTGATTAATGTGAAAAAGAAATCAAAACATCCGTTATTTAGTTGATAAACAAACAACTGCAAACCAAGCTCGTAAGTTAGCTGCTGTGAATAAATTATGCTTTCTGATTAAGTGTTGACTTGTGTGTTGTTTTGTAGACAAAACAGGCAGCCTCCTAATTGAATGAAATAAATCATAGTTACTGCGCATTTAATTAATGCCTCTTAAAAACACACAGCAATTTATTCGTAAAAGCATCCAATAAAATTAACAGATTGTTTGGTTTTGTGCTTGAAAACCTAATAATAGCCTATGGATCCACTAAAAAATATTGACGTAGTGGTTAGAAATTATTTAATTCTGTAGGTTACTCGACTCCTTGCCAACAAATCAGGATGCAAGGCTTTGTTTGCCCTGAAAAAAACCTTATAGTCAGTCTCTGTTGTGTCTGTGGCAAAAATGTGATTGTTAGTTGGTTGACCTGCATGGTTTTCTTGGGAGACAACGGTGCAGGGTGATTGTACGCGGGTTGTTTGAAGAACGAAATATTGGTTTATTGCCTGTGCATTAAATAGTTTCTATCTCATTTGATGTGGTAATTCATTAACATAGGCTAATCTTGGTTTTCGCATCTGATGGCATGATGCGAGTTTTAGTCTTAGGCAGAAGCTTCACACAAAAATGCTTTTTTTGTCCGCCTAAGCTTGGTTCATGGAAGCATAAACTGAAATTTTAAAATGATTTCACTGATAAGCGCCGAAATCCAGATTGTTGGATATAGTAGGCTCTCAACCCACAATTTTTGTTTGTAAAATGACCACTTTGTGAAAACAGACATGCCAAATTTTGCAATACATAAGTTTTAAAAAATAGAAGTACACGATCATTCGCTGCCCAAAGTTAAACCACACAAAGAAGCGTTTTTTGTGACTTGTTGCCGCTAAATAGCTGTCGAAATTTGGTCAGTGACGGTGAAAATACCTTCAATTTGTTTAATAAGTGCGTCAAGTGAACAAGTTACGATCTTCTTCATTCCGTATCACGATACATTTATGTACCAATTGCTGATGCATCCAGTGTAATTTCAAACCGGCAAATTTGGTTAATCGTTCATGAGACGCTTCTCCAGGATATAACTTACAAAATACAAACTAAACAGTTTTCTAGTTTTAATGAGTTCCGACATTAAATCATTCGAAAAGTAAAGATTTTGTTTGACGGTAAATTGGCAGTAATGCATCTTAGACATTTGGAGGCTTTTTCGTTCTTAACCTCTATACTTGGTTTTTGACAAATTTTGACTGGTACAAAGGGGTGAATGTTCAAATTGGCAACTGCTTTGCAATTAGGCCTGTCCACAAACACTAAAGCATTTTATTCACCACAGGAAGTAGACAGGTTATTAGCTTAAAATAATGCTAAACGGGACATTATAAAACACACAAGATGGAAAAGGAATATACAAACGATTTTGGCACGGAACATTGCAAATCCACAAAAATTTGGTTCGAACCCTCTAGGTTGTTTTGAGCCTTCCAAGTTATAATTTTCGCTAATAAGCTAACATTAATTTAGTTCATCCAAAAGATGTCTTAAAGGCATACACAGCAATTCATGCATTACCCCATGGAGGCCGTTGGTTGTGGCCAATGTTTTTTTTCCAAACAATATTTCAATAATTTTTGAAAAAGAAGTTTTGCGTGACACGTTAAAATCGAAAAAAAAGTAAATGTGCTAGTGGTGTTGCGCATTGTTTCACTTGAAGCTTGACATGGCACTTGTGTAAAGCACATGTTAATACCGCACTCAGCAGAAAAAGTGAATGCATTATAGAAATTAATCCTGCTGTTTTGATTTACCTGGACATTGGCGTTGTTGCTGTCAACAACTACCATCTTAGAATCTCGAGTAAACATTGCGCCTTGTGGAAAGGAAAATTCAGACAGCCCTCTGCCACGGGCGCCAACAGTGAATATCATTCCGTTTTTATTCCATGCCATTTTATCAGCCAGTGCTGTAGGAGGAGGCTCCACTCTAGGCAGGCATATTTCAGAACGACTTTGTTTGACGTATTGCAGAGCGCCAATTCGCATTTCAACATGTTCACTTAATTCGTTAAACGTTTGCCTCCATTCATTGGCGACAGGACCAGGTTTTTGTAAGCAGTGTATTCGATAAGGGGAGTTGCGAATATGTTCACCTAGAACCTTCACATTTAGCTCATAAAATCCAGGATTCGCCAACTTCAGTCGGATTAGCACAGAATTTTCTGGAGTCGAAGGTGGGACTGTTTTTTTCTCATCGACAATGACGGTGACCTCATTCATTTGCAAAGATCTATGGGTCAGACTTACTGAAAATTCTTTCGGATTGACGGTTTTTACATCTCTTCCTTGACTGTCAACTGCACGCACCTCCTGGAAGTAGACTTCATTTACGAAACACCGCATAACATTGGAGTTTTCTGCTGCCGCTGAGTCCACGATAGTCGTCTGGTCTGAATCCACACTAGTCAATCCAATTGCACCAAAATTTTTTACAAGACTGAGCAGCTTGTCTAGGGCAATTGGAAAATATGATAAAATATCCGTAACCGATGGATGAATTGGAATCGGCAATGCAACGAGAGCTCGGAGTTGTTCTTCAGAACTTTGCTTTCCAGTGCCCTGATTTAATTCTTCATACTTCTTCTCACATTCACCATTAACAATGCGGTTTTCATTTATATGACGTTGTTTAATCATTTCCGTAATAACAGTAATTTTCTGGCTACGTTCTTCCATTTTCTTAATCAAATCCTCAATGTCTTGTCGACGTTTCTGTAATGAAGATTCTAAATCACTAAATAAAACAAGACGTCGCTCTTCAAGGGCTCGAAATATGGTTTGGAAACATTGGTTGATTTGTCCTTCAATTTCTTTTTTCGTTGACTCCAGCATAAAGAGAACATCGTCGAGCTCCTCACATCGATTGCGTAAATCCGAAAGGACTTGA